TTGCTAATTACAGTATGTCTTCATGTCTCTCAGAGTTTCATGCTGGTATTATCTTGGATGCTACTGCTCATGTAACATTACAGGTTGAACTGTCCTTGCCAATGAAGCTCCTGCCAAATGCTTTCCAGCAACCATCTCTCTTTCAGGGTCCCTGATGTCTCCTATTGCAGCAATGCTAACCATAATTTTAGACACCCAGGCCTATCCAGCATTTTTAAGCAAGACTCTAACCATGCTTGACTCGTGAGTGAACACCAAAGCTAGGGCTTTGAATACTCAACAGCCAGAATGTTTTCCAGCAAAGCAAGTGTCATTACTTCCATTTCTTTCAAGAGCTGGAGTAAGTCTTTGCCACTTTAGTAATGAATATCTCAAGTATTACACCAGTCTTCAGCTCCACTCTGGCATTTCTGTCAGATTCTTTCTAAAGTTTACCTGAGGACACATTGCAGTGAGCATCTGAGCTTATTTGGGCAATATACTGCCAGGCTGTGCTGATATCTTTCTGCTGTGATAACTGTATCAGTCTTAATAAAGGCACTCTTCCTTCAAGGCATTATCCATTAAGATCCTGTGTTGCAATATCTGCAGCGCCAATGCAATTACTTTCCAAATTTAAAGCTTAGCCTTTTCTGACTAGCCACTGACAAGATTCTTGTCAGTGAATAGTAGGCTAGTTCTTTTGACAAAATTCTGTGAAATTTGTGCCGTAAAAAGGACAGGTGGCAGAGTAGTACATTTCATAAAAAGACCATCAGATGCTTTGACCATCAGATGAAAAATAGGGGAAACATACAGACATACAAAGTTCTTATTGAATTGAAAATGTTTCGTTCTTATCTTAATGTATATTTATGTGATTATCCTTTTAATCTAGTAGAAGTAACCTATTTATTACATTTTGCTTCTTTATATACCATGTAGTCCTTGAAAACAGAACAAGAACTAATAACTGACTTCTTTGAAAATGGGGATTTAAAGAAAAAAATGCTTCGAGAAACCAATAGAAAGAGAAATATTTCAAATTGCAAAAAAAAAGTTAATGGTCTAAAATATTTCAAAGGTTTTGAAATTGCTGTATTCTTAAAGTTCATATTCAGTGAAGAGGGATGAAACTAAAGATACTAGTATTATCTAGCAAGCTGTTCAAGCAACTTGGATTTCAGCTTCTTCAGGGCAGAAAACTGATTAATTTTCTGTCAAATTTCCAAAAGCATTATCTGGTTTAACAAAGTCATTTATATTTGGTCGACATAGAATATTTTAAATATTTTTTTCACATCCCAGAAATCAGAATTGAAGAATAATGGCAAGAGATTAAGATTATTTCATTGGTGGTGAAAATAAACGTCTGTTCCAGTTAATGAAAACTATGCACAAAAGAAGTTACAATTAACATGCAAAGTGTCCAGGCGAATGTTTGAGAGATGTCAGCATAACTGAAACTATAGTGTTAGAATTAGTGTACTATAAATACCAGGTCTGAATCTGATGTTTATCTAGTTTTACAGACGAAAATGTGCCCAGACGAGCTCTGTTGATAGACTCAT